TGGTTTCATAGTACTTTCTTTTGTCTTCTCTGGCACTCTTTATTTTTTTGTTCAGTGTCTTGTAGCTTGCATTCAAATCCTATTTTTGTTGCTCGTCGGTGCACTGGATAATCTTTTGTTTCACCATCCTTCTCTCTTCTATTAGTCTCCAAATGTCCATAGTGAGCCACTGTTTGTCCTGTCTCTTCTTTCTGCCTAGAACTTCCATGCAGGTTTGACTCCACACTGTCTTCCAGTTGTTCCAGTGCTTTTCGACACTGACCCCTTCGCCAGTGTTGATTTGTGTCTCGGCTTTGTCCTTTACTCTTGCAGTGAAGATGTCCTTTGTGTCCTGGTCCTTCAGTTTTTGAGTGTTGAACTTGGCTTGTGGTCTATCTGCAGCTCCCATTTTTCTGAAAGCTTTTTATTTGATTTGGATTATCCCTTGTACGAGATAGTGGTCTGAGCCAACGTCTGCTCCTCTTCCTACTGTCGTGTCCAGTAGGCTGCGCCTCCACTTCCTTGAGATTGAGATGAAGTCAATTTGGTTTTTGGTTCGCCCATCTGGTGATACCCATGTAGCCTTGTGGATATCCTTGTGTTTGTATACGCTGCCACCAATCACTAGTTCATTGAAGGCGCAGAAGTCGGCGAAGAGTTCTCCATTTTCATTCATTTCTCCGAGAGCTTCTCTACCCATGATGCGTTCCCTTCCTGTGTTGTCTGATCCCAGTTTGGCGTTCATGTCTCCCATTAGTATTTTAATGTGACCGACTGGGGTATTGTCCATCGTTGCCTGTAGTTGTCTGTAGAATTCTTCTTTCTTTTCGAGGTCTGCGTTGTTGGTCGGTGCATAGCATTGTATAATTGACACTTTCTTTCCTTTGGAGTTGAATCTGGCGGTTATTATCCTGGGCGAGATCGCCTCTCATTGCATCAGGGCCTTCGTTGCCGTTGGTGACATCATGATAGCCACGTTCTCGGTGTGCAAGTGGTTATCCTCTGGGTGACCGGAGCAGATCACTGACTCACCCGTTGACAATTTGGTGAGTCCATCCCCGTTCCTTCTGCTTTCACATACCCCCAGTACTTGAATTCCGTATCTTTTCATTTCGTTTGCGATCTGGGCAGCTTTGCCAATCTCGTACATGGTGCGGACATGTTCCCGCACAGACTTTTTCTTTTGGCGCAAGGAGATTCGTCGTGCTGAAGTTTCTGTAGCAGCTTTGTTTGCAGGGTGGGGTTGCTAGCCTCACGCCTGAGAAGGGAAGAGAGAAAACGTTAGTGTTGAGTGACCACAGAGCTCAGGGGACAACTGCTTGAGGCCGGTCACATGCGGCCTGTTTTTGTTTGTTCTTTCTTGTTTGGTGTGTCTCAGTAGCATATTTATCACTGCTGCCCTGTGACACAGCAGCAGGAAGCGCGGTCGTTGTTAGTCCGGGCCCCGACCGATCCGGCATGATATTTTGTGAGTTGGTTTGAATCATAGTATTGGATTGGGTAGCTGCTTTTTGTTTAACCGCTATCCAAACAACCTTTCTGGCATGGTGGGACCTACAGGAACATAAGTTCCAGCCAGTGTAGCTCGTTGGGTCATTGTGATATGCAAGCCCGACCACCACGTCAAGGTGGCAGCTATCGGTCGTGTTGGTAGATGGTAATTTACGTCAGTGTTTACGTCCTGAATATTGGTCGTGAGAAAAATAATAACAAAGACTGATTCAACAACCAACCGCAGCAGACTATGCTTAAGTGGATGCAGTTAGCAGATGGATGATCTGACATTCAAGAAACAGCCACAAAGAAATGAAAGATTAACTTTCAATGAGAAACAACCAATCAGAAGACTGTTTTTTCTGCTATCAATAACCTATAATAATGTACATGAAAAGCTATAAATATGTGTTGACTTCCTTAATAAACGATCCGTTACCTGGCCCTTGTCTTCTGTTGTTACAGTAGTAATCGGGCACTGCTCTATCAGCCGGCCTATCTATATCGGGGCCAATACCTGTTGAGAGGGGTGAGCGTCTGTAACACATTGGCGGCCACATTGTGAACGTGAATAAAACGGTAATGTCATCTCTGGGTGGACAGAGCCGTTGGGTGTGGACATGTAATTTGGTGGAGATGGCCTACCAGACAAGCTAAACTGGTACGAATTATTGCCTCCAAAGTTACCACCATTCGCAGGGCTATTGTAAAAGTGTCTCAATCCTTTCATTTATGATGGTGCGAGAGCCGACATTTTAGACAGGTAGCTACTAAGTTCAGGTTCTATTATACGGGTTTATACCTGTCGGCTTTGTGAATATTTGTCACTGAAGAGAGCTGTGATCATCAGAATTACTGTGCAGCATTTGTATCTTATTCTGCATTGACTTTACGAACGAACTGGTGGCCACATTCTCCAACTTCATGAAGCTGAGACTACTTGGATTGCCGAAGGCGAGGCGTGATGTACTGCAGTGTGTCATTGGGGTACAGGGATTGTCAACAAAGGAGTCTAGGTTTAAATTCGATTTCTTTTTTGGTGAACCGCTATATAGCGAACTATCTTTGGACCCTACATTTTAACGAAATTTCGTTTCCAGATATGATATACTTTGTGTAGGCAGATCCATGCCCTTTTGTTCTGCCTCAATAGAAGTGTGTGTGCTCAGAGGTGTCGTGGAGGAGCTGGAACTCACGGTTTTAAAATCAGTCAAAGAAGTCATTCTTTGGATCGACGTTTTGTCACGGGCTGACTTAATCATGTGGAAACGCGTATTTTTCAGTAGTGTTTACCTACTGTAAAAAGTGTCAGCATTAGAGGATGAGTTAAATTTCAACACGAATGGACAAGACTTATTTTTCTGAGACTTTCTTGGTCAGTCACAGCTGCAGAAGACATTATTCATTGAGCATACATTCAGAAAAGTGCTTTTGACCTTGTTGATCCATGAATCATCTGGTATGTTATACACCGTGTTCTTTTCACACACAATACGTTGATGTACTTCAGCTGCAACTTAATTTATCAGGCTTACGGTTCGTGGTAACGTTTTAGGGGAAGTAATACTACTGCCAATTTGAATACTTGCATGAACGCTTCACATTGCTACACAGAGTCTCTCAACATCGTACAGAGGGACTTCACATACGACATCTGTACAGAGCTGAATCATTGGCTATGCGGGATCTGAAATCGGACCTCTGAATTCAAAAACACTACATAGATCCACTCACCCTGCCATGGCCAGAGTAACGTCCTCACTATAATTTTGCTTCTTTTTATTATGTAAGTTTACTATTATTACTGTCATTATTATTTTATTATCAATCTTATTCCCATCATCCATATTTTATTATCATCTATACTTATTAATAACGTTGCGTTTTCGTACAGGTTTTACATAAAAACACTTTATCATCTGTCCACTAGTTCCTGTCCATTCAACACAATTATCCTCACTAGTCATTTTCTCACACTTGTTCGGGTCATGCCCACTTTTGCCCCCTTTTCTAATTTCTACTTAGTCACCCCATCTAGACTACACCTTACATTACGTAAAGCGTCTTCAGGTAAAAACTTTGCCAGTTTCTGACTGGTCATATGATTTCTTTGTTAAATATAAATAAGATTGTATAGCTTATGAAAATGAATCGTCGAAAATTTTTCTTCGCTGTTTACGTCTTTTTCTTCAGTTATCTCCGATTTGTAAACCATGATGATGTTACCTCAATTAACTGACAATCTTAGCTACATACATTATTATTTACAATTTTTTCGTATATATGTGACTTCACTGTCACCACAAATACGAAATGAGATCTTCCATCAACAATCCTGTAATGTTATTTTTAGAACTGTTTTTAATGTTACTCTACAAAGTTAGATGCACTATTGTACCAAACACCGAAAATGCCACTGTATCAATAGAAATATCTAGGAATATACCAAATAACTATTAATGACTTACGCCTGCGGTCTCCTTTTAGTTCTTATCTCTGTTGGATAAGTTAAACTGCCAAGCTTACCTGAAAGGGGGTGACTAATTCTATAATAAGCTCAACGAAAGGCTGCATATATGATTCCTGGTATGATAGATTTGTAATACGAGAAAGGAATCAACATCCTGAACCATCTTCCACATCATACTATAAAGAAAGAGGAGATATGGTCACTATGCTCGAAATTCCACGAAATTTCCTTTCCATCCCACCAGTAGTGATCATCTCACAAGACCTAGCACAAACGTTCAAAATTTAAGAGGAGACCATAAATTTGCGGAATATGCGTTCTCCGGCTAGGCCGTAACTGTCAGAAAAGACTTCAAGAAGAAGTGTTGTCTGCTCCCTCAATCGACTTATTCAAGAAGGAATTAAACAAGCACAAATACTTATTGGAGGAATGATACTACAGAATTAAAGCCTTATGTCCTAAGACGAAATATAAAAATTGACATATGAGTTCGGATGATAAGGTTTTTGTGCATTGTCCTCATTCATTCCATCTTTAATTGAAATTGAACCATTGGACATATATGGCCTTTATATTACCTTTAGGTCACCGGCATTTTGATTCAAAATGTCGTCAGACGCACAAAACTGTAAGTATATTTTTTAGGTATATTATTTTCTGTAGATTCAGGGGATGAGGGGGAAGAGTACAACAGTCCTTATAGAAAAAACGTAAGCTTATATTTCACTTGTAATAATGTTTATAAAGCCTCCTCGGGTTAGGAAGAAAAGTCGGTATTACGATGACGACTACTATGAGCCTCCAACTAATTACAAACCTCGTGTAATTCATTCTCCGAGGCCTCAAGTACAAGCAGAGGAAATACCACAAAAAGTCAGGAAACCCGTAAAAATGGTACGTTGGTAGCATTACAACTATTTGCCTTAGCATAAATCTATGATTGGCCATATGCCATGGCGATCTCAGATGCATCACCCGGAAAGACGACTAGCGCAAACCAATGCTGTTCGCTTACGTAATGTCCTTAAGCTCCCAAAAGCCCACAAATGGGTATTCTATGAATGGTTTTACTCAAATCTGGACAGGTATTGCAATCTATAATATTATTTTTCTAGACCTTTGTTACTAGGTGAGAATGATTTCCGTATCTGCCTCCGTGAAAGTTTCCCAAACGTTAAAACTCGACGATTATCCCGTGCACATTGGTCACTATTACGCCGTTTGATGGGGAAGCCGCGTCGTTGTTCTACTGCATTTTTCGACGAAGAACGTCGTTCGCTAAACGAAAAACGAGAGAAAATACGTACTCTGCAAACCACGCGTTCCGTTCAGCTGGAGTTCTTAAGAGATTTACCAGATGATATGCATGTCCCTATGCCTTTAATAATTGGGACTAAAATAACAGCCAGGTAAGTGTACCGGTTTTATTCACTAGCTTTATGTTTGTGACATTGCATTAGTCGATAGCTTAGCGAAGTAGTGACTGGCTTAGAGCTTTGCACCTATGTGCAGCAGTTCGAGTTGCCACACTTCACATAGCACACAAAGCAAGGGAAGAGAGTAAAGAGAGATAATAAACATATATGAGGCAAAAGGAATAGTAATGTGGAAAGACAACTTAGTTTTATTGAATGTAACTGAAGTAATCGTTTGATTTGTTCGCCACCACTTTAATTTCTTACGGATAAATAAGAATTCATTGTAAATTCTTACCAGAGATATTGTGGTATTTTATTTCGTCAATAGTTTTTTAAGTGATGTACAAGCCATATGTGCCAGTCAAATAATATAT